GTCCTAGAAGATTGGAAGTTAGTGAATGTTGTGCCCATTCACAAGAACGGTAGTAGGGAGGAGTAAGGCAACTATAGGCCAGTAAGCCTTACTTCAGTAGTGGGGAAAGTAATGGAAACCATGCTAAAGGATAGGATTGTTGAACATCTAAAATCACATGGATTTCAAGATCAGAGACAACATGGGTTTACTTCAGGGAGATCATACCAAACTAATCTTATTGATTTTTTTGATTGGATAACTAAAATAATAGATCAGGGTGGTGCAGTAGATATTGCTTACCTAGATTTCAGTAAGGCTTTTGACACTGTTGCACATAGAAGGCTTATCAATAAACTGCAATCTTTAAGTTTGGATTCCAATATTGTTGAATGGGTAAGGCAGTGGCTGAGTGACAGGCAACAGAGGGTTGTAGTCAATGGAGTATATTCAAAGCTTGGGCTTGTCACCAGTGGGGTACCTCAGGGATCTGTACTTGGACCCATTCTCTTTAATATTTTTATTAGTGACATTGCAGAAGGTCTTGATGGTAATTTAAGTCTTTTTGCTGATGATACTAAGATGTGTAGCAGGGTTGATGCTCCAGGAGGGATAAGCCAAATGGCAAATGGTCTGGGTAAACTAGAAAAATGGTCAGAGTTGTGGAAACTGGCATTTAATGTGAATACGTGCAAGATAATGCTTCTTGGATGTAGAAACCCAAGGGCAGAGTACAGAATATTTGATAGAGTCCTAACCTCAACATCTGATGAAAGGGATTTATGGGTAATTATTTCTGATGACTTAAAGTTAGGCAACAATGTAATAGAGCAGCAGGAAATGCTAGCAAAATGCTTGGTTGTATTGGGAGAGGTATTAGCAGTAGCAAGAGGGAAGTGCTCAAGCCATTGTACAGAACACTGGTGAGACCGCACTTGGAGTATTGTATGCAGTACTTGAGACGCTATCTCCAGAAGGATATTGATACTTTAGAGAGAGTTCAGAGAAGGGATACTAAACTGGTTCATGGATTGCAGGATAAAACTTACAAGGAAAGGTTAAAGGAACTTCGCATTTATAGCTTGGAGGAAAGACAAGGCAGAGGGGATATGATAGAAATATTTAAATACATAAAGGGAATCAACACAGTAAAGGAAGAGATTATATTTAAAAGAAGAAACACTACCACAGCAAGACGACATAGTCTTAAATCAGAGGGGCAAAGGTTTAAAAATAATATCAAGAAGTGTTACTTACTGAGAGGGTAGTGGGTGCATAGAGGATATGGGGGGGATAAAATAATAAAAAACACACATACAAAAAAAAAATCTTGTTTTTCCTCCCCCTACAATTAATGTCCACGGCCTCTGGAAGATGCCAAGGTGCAGATAACCTAATTTGATTTCCCTACGCTCACAATATACCTAATATGCAACCCTATTACTGCCGTCTAAATCGGCTGCTGCGGTGATGTTTCACCACATCAGAGGGGTCACCGCCATAGGTTGGCATGTTGGGCACCACATGGGGGGAGTTTCTGTACACAGCACACTAAATCAACAGTTACTGTTCCGGTACACAATAGTTCCATACAGGTTTCATAGAGCACACGTTTAACCAAGTTCCTCAGATCCTACTAACTCACATAGGCTCGGTAGCTAAAAGGTCGGGCTCGACTGCGGTTCCCAACCCGAGTCATGTGAACTACGACACTGCGGGAGTTGTCACTTTGTCCTTATAGGATATAACCCAGTGGGGTTCGGTGCCAACTGCTCCCACAGTCACACGAACACCCTCCCCGCTGGGGGCTCTTTTCCTTTCCCTTTTAGGACCCTACAGGGCCTGACGGGACTTTCCCTCTCCCACTTATTGTGTCACCTTTGCCTTCTTTTTCACTTTTTACGTTCTGATCTACCGGGCTTGCTGGATCACCCCCTGCTCTTATTGTGGGTGGGTGGGCGGCCGAGCAACCCTGTGGAATCTCTTCCCTCTACTACAAACCCCACCCCACACCGCGAGACCTCGCCTGGGTGCCCCCCATCTCCCTGGGGGCGAGGCACGCGTTGTGACGCGTCTTGTCTGTGCCTTGCCCGAATTGGGCGTATAGTGTTACCCACCCTGACAGGGGGAGGGACTTTGGCCCAGCGGGTTGGCTCCACACTTCAGCGTTGTGGCACACTTGCCCAGAGTCTCTGACAGGTGTTGTCCAACAGCACTTCCCCCCACCCCTCATACCTCAACTATCACCACCCGCCTCCTGACAGCTGGCTACCACGGCATATAAACCAGATGTGCTCACAGTAGTTACTCAAAACTCCAGAGGACTAAACATACCTGAATGTAGATCTCACCTACTCCGTGATCTCCACAGAACTTGCGTATCCATAGATTTCCTCCAGTACACTCAACTGAGGAACAAACATTACCCGTTAAACTATTTCTGCAACCACCCAACGGCTCGTAAAAGCTGGGGTGGCCATATTACTGACATTGAACCTACATTTCACGGAGGTGGAGCTGGATTCAGAGGGCAGGTATTTATTCATTAAGGAAGATGTATTGGAATACTGATACACCCTGGCAACATTATATTCCCCGAAACGCAACCAAACACTATTTATTCGCAAAACCCTTACCGCACTATCCGCCTTCACTGAAGGCATATTAAACTTGGGCAGCGACTTTAACATCCCTCTCAACCCCACAATAAATACCTCAACAGGCTACAGTAGCATCCCCCAGAGCGCCATCCGAAGCATTCATAAATCACTTCAAGCTCTCCGACTCATAGACTGCTGGAGAACGAAACATCCAGCGGATAGGGACTGTACCCACTTCTCTGTGATCCACTCCAGATATGCTTGAATAGACCTTCTCTTCCTACAGCAAGAGAACCTCTCATGCCTACACTCAACCTACATAGGCGGTTCAAGCCCGGTACAGATGATGGTGAAACCCTTAAATTGACCCAGAACAAGATCCTGGAGCCTGAACGATTCACTACTTCTGGATCCTGAAGTCCGGGAACATATCTCACAAACATTGACTTCCTATTTTAATGAAAATACACCTAGGGAACAATCGGATGGCACCATCTGGAAAGCGCACAAAAGCGTCATCAGAGGCTTCCTAATCCAAATCGTGGCCCGGAAGCGGACAGAATCCAGGCGACACACTAAAGAGCTGGTTGATACAATCTTTACTCTTGAAGCTCAACACAAATGTACCCAGGCTGCCTCGGCCTACAAAGAACTCTTAGAAGCCCGGGGGCAACTACTGGCACTATATTCAAGTCAACTATATAGGTCGGCACAAAGGTCGAAGGGCTTCATTTACCTACACACAAATAAGAGGGGATGGTTGCTTGTATGAATGCTACGGGGACTGCAGACTCATGCACAGGTCCACCGGATCAGAACCACCACAGGACGAACGACTCTACTGCCAGAAGAAATTGCATTGGAGTTCCGGACATTCTACTCCTCCCTCTACAACATCACTCGAGTGGAAGGTGAAGGCACTGAGGGTAATCGGGACCTGGAGCGGAGCAACTTCCTAGTGACTTATGTCACCTCCACCCTTCAGGCGGAAGATGCAGCGACCGAAGAAGCCCCAATCATGGAAGATAAAATCCTGACAGCCATCAAGACTGTGATGACAGGCCATGATCCGGGCCTGGATGGATTTACTCTGGACTATTATAAGAAATTTAGAGCAGCCTTGATTCCAAAGCTCACCAAAGTTCTCAACGCTTTGACCTCCAGCGGCTGTTTTCATCAAGAATCACTATTGGCTACAATCACCATCTTACCCAAACCAGGGAGGGATCTGGAGGCATATGGCAGCTATAGACCGATCTCATTGATCAATATCGATGTGAAACTTCTCCCAAAGATCCTCGCAATCAGACTTGAAGCGAAGCTTCGAAACCTGGTCAACCCGGATCATATTGGGTTCCTACTGGGTAGAGAGGCAAGGTATAGCACGTTGCAGGTGCTCTCCATCCAGTATCTAGCACGCAGGACTTGAACACCCTTGCATCTCCTTTTTATCAATGTGGAGAAACCTTTCGATCAGGTGGACTGGTCCTTCCTCATGGCTGCGCTCCACAGTTATGGCTTCGAGGTCAAGTGGATGAACTGGATAGGAGTTCTGTAAGATCCGCTGAATGTGAGAGTACGAGTAAATGGAGCCCTAACGAATAGCTTTTCGATACGTAATGGAACACACCAGGGATTCCCACTATCCCTAGATCCCTTGATGAAGGCGGTGCGGTGAGGCAGAGATATCGAAGGCTCCAATTGGACTGGCAAGACCCACAAGGTGGCGGCATATGCCTACCACCTGTTGTTTTTCATTACTAATCCAACATTCACAGTACCACGTCTACTCGACCTATTGAACACATACTGGGCTATGGCCGGGCTTAAACTCAACCTGTCTAAATGTGAAGTCTTAAGAGTCTCCAACACTATGGAGGAAGAAGTGAACTTACGCTCTTAGCTGCGCTTTCACTGGTTCCTCTCCCACATGAAGTACCTAAGGAATCTGGATAATGGCTGACCCCCTGGACCTCTATCAGAGGAATTTCATACCCTTGCTACACAAAATACAACAGAACCTTGGGAAGTGGCACATTCCTCACATCTCCTGACTAGGGTGCATAGCGGTAGTCAAGATGAATATCCTGGAGAGACTCTTATAACCCTTCCAGACGATACCGCAGGCCTTGTCCATGTCATTCTTTGCCTCCCTTCACACCACAATACTGAGATATATATGGAGGAATGGGAGACCCCAAATCAGATACAAACTATTATGTCTTCCGCGGCAGAGGGGCGGCCTGGCCTTTCCGGGCTTCGGCAGATACCATCAAGCGCAGCACTTCAAAGAACGCTGGAATGGCACTCTCGCCCAAAACAAAAATTAGCGGTTGCTTTAGATAAAGACAGCATCGGACACTCCCTACAATCATCCATGTGGAACACTAAAAACCTATTCCTGGACAGAACACACAAGACATGTCCAGCGGTCTAGACTCTGAAAATCTGGGATGCAGCACGTGGGGCCCCCCACGTCTCTCCAAAGCCAAGCCTGAATATCGCCATGATAATATACAACCATGGGCTTGGGACTTCTGGGGAGTCAGGACTACATCCCCATTCGCACGGGCCTGCAAACTGAAGGCTTGCAACCACTTACAGAACTCCTCAACGGCACTGCACCGACATACTTCCATACCTTCAGATATTCACAACTATGACACTTCTATCAGTTCGGTGAGCACTATGTACCAGGAAACCAACTACAGACTCCTCTCTCCCTGGTATTGTACACCGTACTATCTCCATAAGGTGTTCCCCACCATACCGAAAACCTGCTGGAGATGCGTGGAGGTGGAGGGAATGGTCAGACACATATGGTGGGACTGTCCCCGTGTAACACCATATTGGGAGTCGGTGGGCACCAAAATTATGGAAATAATGGGGGAGACCCCACCCTTTGAGATAGACCATGTACTTATTCATGCCACTCAATCCCCTCTAGCCACCTACAAAAAAATCTATCTATAGTCACCTCCTGAATGCAGTCAAATCCGTGATACCAGCCCTCTGGAAAAAGGACAGGACCCCCACGGTAGAGCAATGGTTAGATAGGGTTGTGAAAATCCAATCAGCAGAAGCAATGCATGCATTTTTGATGGGCACTGACACGAAACACATTCCTAACATTCTGGTTCAAAGTTACAGTTTAGAAAAGATGGTTACTCTGCTACACAAGCCATAGAATCCTAAAATAGGATATAGGGGCTGTGGGAAAAATTATATGCTGTGCAAGAAATATGAGGTTGATAACTTAGTGTGATCTGTGAAGGGGAGATGGGGCAGGTATTTCACATAGGGGCAGGACCTGAGACCAAACAAGAACAGTTTCATTTGGTCCTTTAGCTTTGTTCTTTAATGCTTTATAGCTTTACTCTTTTCTTTCTCTCTCCTCTTGTACTTGTTGCTTCTGCTTCCTCTTCTTTCTTATAGTGTTTGCCTATATCACCTTGCATTGTGTCTTGAAGGAGCTGTAAAGAGTTTCAACAAATGTATTGCTTATTTAGGGAAGTTTTCTCTGCTGTATTTACACCACTGTGAACAATTTATTTTTATTCAACATGTTTTCTAGTACATTAATTTACCATTGATGTTATTGGTAACATTATTTCCTTCCCTCTTTTATTCATTGTTCTTATTAAAGTACTGTACATATGTGTCCTGTTGCTCATTCTCTCATGTGTGTCCAATTATCTCTGTTGGATGAATTTGATAAAAACTTTATATTGAAAAAAGAATATGGCAACTTTACATATATTATTATTGCTAGTGGCATTTATATAACACCAACAGTTTCCACTGTGCTTTACAATTAAAGAATTGGGTTATTAAATAACAACTGGGAGACAAAAATAATGTTGACAAATGCAAGAGATGTATAAGGCTTTTATAAAAAAGACTGCGGTCAAGGATGAAGGAGTGGTATAATTCAGGAAGAACAATGTGACAGAGGTAAGGATAGGTCAATAGATATGATACCTTTCTCAAGTTTAAGGATTGACTCCAACCAAAAACAGTGTTTTAATAAAGCACTATTCTTGCTATGACTAACCCTTACTGTTTTATTTGCCCACAAAAATAAATTTAAAGCATGAATTTATCTTTGATCCAGTGCCAACATCAAGTTCTCCCTGCAGCCGATCCACCTCTGGTGACATAATTCTCCATCCATGCGCTGTGGTAAGAAAGTTGGTATGCATTCTATGCACGATGATGCCAAATGCCAAATATGTACAGAATTGACATTATAAAATAAAACTAATGACTAAAAAAAGGGTAATAGGAATTCAAAATGAATATTGCCAGCAACATACAAATTGTGAGTGACTTGATATCAGAAATACAAATACTAGGATATATATGTGCACTCATCTGATGGAACCAGAGAGAGAAAGTCTCTAAATAGAGACAAAATGCGTAGACATGTGATCAGCTGGACTGAAGTGTTCCTGTGCTGGATGCCTTCTGACCATGGCCTTTTTTGAAGATACTGGCCGTGGCATTCAGAGAGTGTCATGTGACAGTGTCTGTCTGACGGAGTTTATAGGAGGAGTGGTGGAAGATTTCTGTAGCTGTTTTCCCCCTGGTGCCAGGCAACATACATCTACCTCCCTCTTCATTTTTGGACTCTGCACCTTGGATGTCAGGTTTCGTTCTGGGGATATTTTTCAGCCGGGACATTCTCTTATTATATTAGTATATTTTTTTAGACATATACTGTTTTACATTTTTGCTTGCTTTGATTATTGGATACTTCTAACCCTCTTTTAGGTTCTATTGTTAGGTTCTATTGTGAGGTGAGATATTCTAATATTACCAGTGTGTTTGTCACCTACTCCCTGAATACTATTCTTGTATCCACCCCACTATATTATTTTTTTTTCTGGTAACTGTTGCAAGCTTGTCCTTAAGAAGTTTAGCAGAGGCGGCCCTCTAATTAGGTGGTTTAGGAGGCCGTCTAAGGCCTTGCACTGGCTGGGGCCTCAAGGCCAACTAAATCGCCTTAGGGCAGACTGTGTTGGGTCCTCAGTCAGTGACCGAGGACCCGACACCAGGAGAGGGCCCAGCGGCTTACTCAGTATGCCCCTGGGTGCGAGGCCAATCCTGGACTGGAGAGCGCCTGACGGCCTGGACTAGCAAGATCTGGCAACCATCTGACGGGTCTCGCGAGATACATGGTGTGCAGAGCTGCAGACCGGATATCACTACTGGACCTCCAGCGGGCCCACATTGGACCCCCAGGAAAAAAATAAAAGGTATTTAGTCCCCCTCTCCATCTCCCCATCATCCTCTCACCATCACCCCCTCTCCCTCTCCCCATCACCCTCTCACCATCACCCCCTCTCCATCTCACCATCACTCCCCTCTCCCTCTCACCATCACCATCATCCCCTCTCATCATCACCATCATCCCCTCTCCCTCTCACCATCACCTCCCCTCACCATCACCCCCCTCTCACCATCACCCCCACCCTCCTACACACATCACCACTCTCTCACCATCACCTTTCCTCTCTCTCTCTCTCACCATCACCCCTCTCCCTCACCATCACCCCATTCCCTCTCACCATCACCTCCCTCACCATCACCCCACCTCTCTCACCATCACCCCTCTTCCTCACACCATCAACCCCCTCTCCCTCTCACCATTACCCTTTCTCTCACCATCACCCCCTCCCCCTCTCACCATCACCCCATTCCCTCACGCCATGACCCCCTTTCTCACACAGTCATTCTCCCTCCCTCTCTCCCTTCCTTACACCATCACCCTCACACACACAGTATCCACCCAACAAACAGAATCCACCCCACACACAGCATCACCCCCTCACACACACTGTAATGCCCCCCCACACTGTAACCCACAACAACATTGTGTGAACATACTTCCACACACTGTCAGCCTTCCCAGACACATTGTTAGCATCCCCTCACACTGTCACCTCCCCAAACATTGTCACCCCCACACTGTCACCTCCCCACACACTGTCAGCCTCTTCATGCATCCACACTCACATTATCCACTCCTAATCCTGTTAATCTCACCCCCTCCAAACTCACCTGCCCTCACTCTGCAACACTCACCCTGTAACATTAACCCCCCTTAATCCTGTCACACTTGTCCTTCCTACCATGCCACACTTACCTCCACTTGCCCTGTTACACTCCCTCATCAAACCATGTCATATTTCCTCTCCCTCATTCTTTCTTACAACCTCCCATTTACCCTCTTCACCCTGTCACGCTGTCCCTGCCACTGGTACCCCTTTACTCACCTTGTCGCACTCACCAGTTGAAGACATTCATCATACACATACAATCTGGAAACATAGCTTTGCCATAAACACAATGCACAAATGCCACAGGAAGACCCCCATATACACAATACACTTCAAGTAGCCACACAATACACATGCGGTCCCAGACAAAAACACAAACATGCTCACAGAGACATACATTCACAAACACTGGTAGACAGTGAATCAATGTGTATATGTGTGCATGTATTGCAACTTTTTTTTTATACTTTGGTGTTAGTGGGGCCTCATGTTTGAGTTTTGCCCAAGGCCTCAAAGTTTAGAGCCACCTCTACTATCAGGCTATGTGTACCGCATAATCAGGCTTGCCATTTGCGGCTTACCTCTTTCTGAAAACCGTGGCAAGCTTGTTTCTAAGTAGTGTAGCCACCATCATCCATTTTTACGGGTTCTGAGACTAGATTCAGACACATTGTTGCATTTTTATTGGATACTACTTTTACTGTTTACTGTTTTAGTATTTAAGATACATTTTACCTCATAAATTGTTGATTTATTTTTCGTGGGAATTTTAGTCCAGCTGATTTATTGGTTCCTGATTTTTATATTATCATATTTAGTGTACTAATTGTTCTATTGCTGATGGTTTCACACATACATATCCAAGTATTTGTATTTCAGAATTGACATTATCTTTCATTCTGGGTTGGTTAATGATGTGGAGGACATGGATTTACACCAGCAGCTACATTCTTTAACTTGCAAAGAAAATTCATGGTTCCAAAGTTCCTGTCAGATCCAAGGAGTCTAGGTGGCTGCCTATGGTCACCTTAAGAGTAATGCTGCTCTTACATGAATCAATACAGCTGTTTGTGGCTACGCACTCTTACACTGTCCCGGAGTCTAGGCAACTGGCTAGGGTTAATTGTTGTGGTAACATGTCATTTGAGGAATTATTTGAAAGTTAAAATGAATGGAATAATTATAATAATTAAATTCACAAAAAGTGCATTTTACAGAAAATAAAATATATACATATAAACATTACATATATTGAGAGTAAAAATATGTTATGAGAGTTTTTTTGTATTGTCTTTTATTTTTTTTCTCTTATATTTTACCAGGTTTTATCATTCCGTGGTGAATTCTCCAATCCTCCCAAAGTTCTTATGTGGGATTTAAAACATGTTTTATAAATATTTCATTTTCAATTAATATTTTAATATGCACCTATTTCAATAATTACTTCTGCAAATGAGACTTCATTCAGTGTTAATTAAGAGACTGCAAGCCTAATATAAGATATGAAATATTTGTCTCTTTTCTTTTCAGAATATGCATTTGAATAGTTTTTTTCTTTTTATCCGTGTTAACCAGAGTGTTACACTATGACATAGTTTAAGTTATTTAATTGATGTAGAGGATATCACAGAGTACTATCAGCATTCAGCATAAATAATAATAATATTAATACATTCAGTATAAATAATAGAGCAACCTATCTCATAATGCCATGTGGTAATATAACCAGGTTAATTGATTTTATTGCTGCATAATAACAAATTAGCAACATTTACATAACTCGATAATTGGCAAGCATATTAATGGAATCCATCTAATTTCATTTATACTGAAGTGGAATTTTTTTTCTTTTGTTCTTTCTTTGTAATATATTGGTTATTGCCTTTATTAAAAACATATGGAGATGTCTGC